CCCCCATAATATGCTGAAAAAAATAAATAAATAAATATATTTTTTAAAATGATTAAGGCCGAGTGTGGTGGTTCACACTTGTAATCCTAGCACTCTGGGAGGCCGAGGCGGGCGGATTGCTCGAGGTCAGGAGTTTGAAACCAGCCTGAGCGAGACCCTGTCTCTACCAAAAATAGAAAGAAATTAATTGACCAACTAGAATACCAACAAAAATTAGGTGGGCATGGTGGCACATGCCTGTAGTCCCAGCTACTCTGGAGGCTGAGGCAGGAGGATGGCTTGAGGCTAGGAGTTTAAAGTTGCTGTGAGCTAGGCTAATGCCACGGCACTCACTCTAACCTGGGCAACAAAGTGAGACTCTGTCTCAAAATAAATAAATAAATAGATAGATAGATAGATAGATAGATAGATAGATAGATAGATAGATAGATAGATAAATAGATAAAATAAAAAATGATTAAAATAAAAAGGAGCTGCTACAAAAATGGCAGTAAAATAGTAGCTCTAATCTCATTTACACCCTTTCCTTTTTATCATTTACTAAACACTTTTTGCAACGTAGCAATGTACTGTATTGAGTGTGATGTATTTTTTTTGAATGAAAGAAGGATTATAGCACTTGCCCTCAAGGAGCTTACAAATCAGGAAATTAAGAGCATAAAATAAAAATTTAATGAGGTGTTAAAATATGTGATATAAACAGTAATTTCCATAAATGCTTAGACAAATCACTGTGAACTTCAGAAAAGAGAATTCAGTAATTTCACATGTATACAGCATATGACATTTTAATACAAAGTAAACAGACCACCACATAAAAACTTATGTTGCTTTTCTTTCCATTCTATAAATTCAATGTAGATTTATTGAAAGATATAAAAATTGTAGACAAAACTTATGGAATATTTAAAAATGGGCAAAAAAATATTACTGAGTATCCTTTCAATGGAATGATGACACCTCTAAGGACTACTTGATTCAATAGGGGTATGGGATTTTGTTTGTCTTTTGACTCAGCTATTTTACAGCTCTGTAGAGATGGAAGTTAACTTATAGAAAATTGATAGCAATACCAATATCCCTGTCCATAGAAATGCAAATTGCATCCAGTGGAACTCAACAGTTTTGTTAATTTTGCATCCATTTATATGCATGTTAGCATGGTTTATCTATAAAAGGTACTTTGAATGTTCCTTTAACCCACTTTTAACAACTGACTGGTTCCTTCATTAATTAATGAGTTAAATATCTTTGGCTTGTATTTATTCTATATTTGTATGAGAGTCATGATTATATCCTCTTTTAAACTTTATCCTTCAATAAAATGAATACAAGATGATCTCTACCCTTTCTCAAAGAGCTCACAACCTAATAGGGAGGGAGACAGATATTTTAGAAATCAATTAGATCAATACAACGAGATAAGTAGTATAATACAGACAGTATTATACAGCACACTATGAGAAGTGAAATAAAACTACTGTTTCTCTGGAAAGTTTAGGAAAACCCTATAGCTTAAGTTACAATTTTATGTTAAAAAAGAATTTGAAAAAACTAGGGCCAATCTAGCCCACCATCTGTTCTTGTACAGCGCTTGAGCTAAAAGTGGGTTTTTACATTTTTAAATGCTTGGGGAAAGAAGTGAGAAGATGAGATTACCTAATGACATGTGAAAATTGCATGGAATTCAAATATCAGTGTCCATAAATAAAGTTTTATGGAACTCAGTTACACTCATTTATTTATGTATCATTTACAGCTGTCTTCACAATACAATGACAGAGCTGTGTCGGTGCAGAAAAGACCGTACGGGGCACTCTCATCAATTCACACTGCTGTATGGCACACTATAAACTGCAATTTTGAAACTGCAATTTTGAATTTTAAATAAACAGCATTTCAATTATCACATGTATTACCTTACCACATTTTTTAAAAATTACCAATACATATGCACATCATATAAAATTAAGAAAACAAGAGGTATGGGGACTTTGAATATCATACTTTAAGGCACAGAAGAATGCTGATTATTTTATCAAATTAAACAGCAAAACATTGTATTTATTGATACAAAGACACTACAGTTGTGCTAAAACAGTATATACATTGACATTACCAAACTAGGTACTCACTATTCTTAACTCAGGAAGGTAACACTAAAAAACTTAAAAATTCTAAGAATGTATCACCATGCAGAATTTCTCCACAAAAATAAAAAAATATTTAATAGTAATAAGATTGCAAACTAAGTAAATTTCCAAGTTGCTGGTTTATTAGTCAAGCAAAGAAAGCCATTTAGCCTTGATGAGTCTATTAAACCATGTGTGACTGCAGCAGCCAAAGAAATGTGTCCAGAGAAAGCAAACTTTTAAGCCTACTGGTGAGAATAGTTGCTTGAAGATTCAAGGACACTGGGAGCAAAATTATTAGTCCATTTAAAAAAAAGGCAAAGGATTTCAAGTGGTTTTCCTTGACTCTTGATGAGTCAATAAAGAGACCTAGTTGTTGATGAGCAGTGTCCATGGGACAACTCTAGACAAGAATATTCTCCAACAACTTGAGCAAACATTAATTCAGTACAACCTGAAGTGAAATTTACTGTAAGATACATTATAACCAATTTTGGCAAAAATGTGTGGAGTAGAAAAGGCTTCAGTTAGGCTTATTTTCAACCTCTATTACTGAACACTAAATGGCTCTATTAATTAGATTTTGCAGCAGACTTGGTATTTCTTGATGAATTAAACCTAAAATTACAAGGCAAAACACAGCTCTGCAGTCCTCAACCCCTGGTAGCGACTGGTACTGGTCCACAGCCTCTTAGAGACCAGGCGGCAGAAATCCGCCCCCCTCTTAAAGGAAAAATTGTCTTCCATGAGACTTAGGAACTGGGCAAGGGTGGGGGATGCATAGCAGGAGGTGAGCGCAGGCAAGAGAAGCTTCATCTGTATCTGTATTTACAGCCACTCCCCATGCTCGCATCACTGCCTGAGCTATACACAGCCATGCACCCCCATGAAACCAGTTCCTGGTGCCAAAAATGTTGAGGACCACTGAATAGCTTATATAAGAAACTCTAGTGATAGTCATTTTGATAATAACTAGTATTCTTAGAATCACAAGTAATCACAAGCTTCTTTACATACTCCAAAGCTAACAAACAGAAAAAGAAGGGAGTCTTCCATTCCTATACAATTTTGTAATGAATATATTTTCTGAGTTCAAACTATAGGTCCGGCAGGGTTTTTCACACCACAATGTAAGTGTAAAATAAAGCTCCATATTGCAAACTCCAATTACCTGTGCAATTGAGTAACTTCTACCTAACCTTCAATTGAAAGTGACTCATCTACAATGTAATAACATATTTAAAGACAAATATCAACAGGAGAATCTAATAGAATTTTTTTTTTTTTTTTGAGACAGAGTCTCACTTTGTTGCCTAGGCTAGAGTGAGTGCCGTGGCGTCAGCCTAGCTCACAGCAACCTCAGACTCCTGGGCTCAAGCGATCCTTCTGTCTCAGCCTCCCAAGTAGCTGGGACTACAGGCATGCGCCACCATGCCCGGCTAATTTTTTCTATATATATTAGTTGGCCAATTAGTTTCTTTCTATTTATAGTAGAGACGGGGTCTCGCTCTTGCTCAGGCTGGTTTTGAACTCCCGACCTCGAGCAATCCGCCCGCCTCGGCCTCCCAGAGAGCTAGGATTACAGGCGTGAGCCACCGCGCCCGGCCTAGAATTTTATAGTTTCTATCCTTTCAAGTGATGAATACGCTCAGATAAAATCATATGCTTGTGAACTAATGTCAGTTATTTCCAGTATAAATAAAAAGACATATTCAAAAATGACTTCAAGTAAAATATCATTACAAATCAACACTGACAGATGAACATTTGCATTGCATTTTGATGACAGAGAGAACATTAACTTTCAACTACAATTAAGTAAAATGTCATCTCCTGCAAAAAAAAGAATTTCGTCATTCTTATTAATAGATCTAAATTACAAAAAGTACAAAAAGTGTTAATAAACTAAATGGATGCCTCAAACTTATGTGGAAAACTACACTGCTAATTTTGCCACCTACTTCCAAAGAAAAAAAAAACTGCTTTTCCAGCATCTCAGTAAATATAAATTCCATTCTTTAGGTTGATGAGGACAAAAAACTTGAAGTCATCTTTGTCATCCCTTTATCTCATTCATCATATCCCATTCATCAGCAAAAACAGTTGGCTTTATCTGTATAACTATATCCAGAATCTAAACACTTCTTACCATTTGTGTCGCCACGCTGGTTCAAGCTACCATCACTGTTCATCTATGATAAATACCCTTCTAACTAGTCTACTTACTTCCTCTCTTACCTCATTTTATTCAGAGCAACCTGAGAATTCCTTTAAAATTTAAGCCAAATCACATCATTTCTCAGCCAAAAATCCTCATATGGTTTCCCTTGACACTCAGCATAAAAAGCCAAAGTCCTTATCAATGTACTACAAGAAACTGCACGATCTGATATCTACCCACCCAAACAACTCTTCTGACCTGATCTCCTCTATTCTTCCCCTGGCTCGTTCAATTTCAACCACACTGTCCTATTCATGTTTCTTCCAACTTGCTTTCTAATCCTATACCACATTTTTAACTTGTTATTCCACTGCCTAAAATGATGTTCCCAAATAAACACATTACTCACTCCCTCACATCCTTCAGGTTTCTAACCAAATCTCCCCTTTCTTGCAGAGGCCATCTGTGACCACCCTACATAACTAGCAACTATCCTTTCACACTGTATCCTACCACTCTATAACCCTATTACTCTGCCCACAGAGTCCAGAACAGTGCCTGGAAAAAAAGTATTTGCTCAATTAATATTTCCTGAATGAATAAATTAAGCAACAAAAAAATTGTACTTTTTTCCGTAACACTTCCTCAGTTCCTTTTTCTTATTTAAATACAGTATACATACATACATATGTATAAAGCTGATTTACCATTGCACTGAGTGTTTCTTCCCAATCAGGCCGTTCTCGAGGATGAACGTTTCTATGTAGTTCTGGAACAAAATCATCTTCTTCAGAATGTACTGAGGACTTCATCTTCCTAGAGATCAAAATAGGAGAGATTCTGATAAGAATTTCTATTTCTGTGAAAGCTTTCCAATGAACATAATTCAAAGAACAGAAAACTTATGTGTCAGATTTGAAGTTTAGTTAAAAGGCTCAGGTGGCTAGCATTGATCCTTCACTTGTACTCTGGCTTTCAGGGATCTTTCCTAAGGTACCAAATACTTGCTTTTACTCCAGGAGATAAAAGTAAGGTCTATAACTAGTTAACCTTTATAATCCATAGTAATTATCATATCAAAACAAATGATTTTATCTATTCAACACAATTTGAACCTTGGAAAGATTTAGAACAGCTATCATGTACACTACATCAATACTTACAGAACTGTGCTAAACCTTAGTGAAATTCCAGAACAAAGAAGAGATACGGTATTTCTGGTTAGAATCAATGGAGCAGAGTACATCAAACAAACACCCTTGATGAGAACATCTATGAATGCTGAGCAAAACATTTAAAACTGCTTATCTGAAAGCATGGAAAAGCAACCAATACAGGTGAGGCTTCCAAGGCTATAAACTTTGAGAGAAGCAAATTCTACATTTAATCATTCTTTTGTATAAGCAAATGTTCCAAATCAATGAAGAGAAATGGAGCCCAGGCATAATACTCTAATCTAAGTGGGCTGAGAAGGCAGAAGTTGGAGGTCGGGTTCAACAAATCAGATGGGCTTCCAGGGGTGATCACCCTCAAAAAACCCTGGAGAGAAAGAGCCCAGAAATGTACATGAAAATTCCCCTCAAATCATTAGCTGATTTCTAATAGTATAAATATGTAGGATAAGATGCCAAGGAACCCAAAATAAACCAACTGAAGAGCCAAGTAGATATTTCAACAGCCCAGCAGGGTTGAGGAGACAGAGGTTGCACTGCCAAGACAGAGAAGTGCAGGAAACTCCCCTGAGCTCTTAACTAAGACTCCAAAAATGCCATCCCTTGAAATAGCAATAGACAAACTCTAATAAAGCCTAATGCTAAACCCTGACAAGATCAGAAATGCTGGGAAAAAAATTAACTCTCTTTGGAGAAAAAAAGAATTCTCCAGACTCTGCAAAATTTTTATCCACATTATCTGGCATCTAATAAACATTGAGGCATGCTTTAAAAAATAAAGCCAGAAAGAAATGAAAAAAATCTGAGGAAAAAAGTTAAAACGGAGAAACTCACATGTAATTCACATATTAGAATTATCAGAGACTTTAAAATGGCTAAGATGCATCTGTGGTTTCTGCTTATAATGGAGAAACCTGTACAGAGAACTACTCCTACCCTAACAAGAAGAAAAGTCAAATAATCCACAAAATTATAACTTTTCTAGGACACAATCAAAACCTGAGGTCTCAGGACAACCAACTAGCCTGAACTCTAAGGAAACACAAGCTTCTCCAATGAGATGGATCATAGCAATTACTTGTCTGGCACAAAGCATGGGGAAAAAAAAAGCTGGTGAGAAGAATTCAGTTAAATTTTTATCAAAGTTGCTAAATACCTTTATACTTAATATGTTCAATGAAATGAAAATTAAAAAGCAATGGAAAAATGAATAACTCCAACAGAGAATTGGGATCTACAAAGAACAATCAAATGTTCAGTCTAAAACTAAAAAATATAATATCTGAAATTAAGAACTTACTAAATGGATTTTACAGAACAACAGACATAGTTAAAGAGAGGATTAGTAAACTGGAATAGAGTTTAGTAGAAAATATCAACACTAGGCCAGGAACAGTGGCTCACACCTGTAATCCTAGCACTCTGGGAGGCTGAGGTAGGAGGATCCCTTGAGCTCAGGAGTTCAAGACCAGCCTCAGCAAGAGCGAGACCCCATCTCTACTAAAAATAGAAAAAATAGCTGGGAATTACCAAAAATATTAATAGAAAAATTGGCTGGGCGTGGTGGTGCTCACCTGTAGTCCCAGCTACTAGAATGGCTGAGGCAGGAGGATCTTGAGCCCAGGAGTTTGAAGTTACTGTGAGCTAGACTGACCCCATGGCATTGCAGCCCCAGGCAACAGAGTGAGACATTGACTCAGCAGAAAAAAAAACAAAAAAACAAAACAAAACACCACACTCTAAGAGACATACCTGATATATAAGGACACCAAAAGGTGGAAAACAGAAGGATTAAAAAAAGTGATAGCATATAAATACTAGCTAAAGAAGGCTACTATACCTATATTAACATCAAAGTAGACCTTAGGCAAAAGGTATTACTAGAGACAAAGGGGGAGATTTCATAATGATATCAAAGTGTCAAATTATTAATAACAGGTTGATATAATATGCAACAAACTGTAAATAAAATTTGTATGCAGCAAATAACACAGCTTCAAAATAAACCTGCAAAAACTAAAAAAATAATAATTGTAATAGATAAATCCACAATCACAGTTGGTAATTTTAACAAACATTTCTTAGTAACTGATAGAATAAGCAGACCAAAAAATCATAAGTATATAGATTTGAAGAATCCAATTTTCCACTCTGAACTAATAGGATACCAAACACAACAACTATACAATTCTTTTCTCTTTTATATTCTTTTCAAGTGCATATGAAACATTCACCAAGGACCAAATGCTAGAAGATGAAGCAATCTCAACAAATACAAAAAATTTAAATTATGAATCATGTGTTTTGTGAATACCACATAATCACACTAAAAAGCAATTGCAGAAAGATAACTAGAAATTCCACCAAATGTCTGGAAAGTAAGAAATGTAATTCTGGATAACTCATAAATCAAATACAAAAAACCACGTTGGAAATTTTAAAATATTTTTATCTGAATGATAATGAAAATACAACAGATGAAAACATGTGAAATACAACTAAAGCAAAACTCATACATATCTATAAATGCTTACTATTGGAAATGAGACAAGTTGAAAATCAATGTTCTAAGCTTCCATCATAGGAAGCTAGAAAAAAAGAGCAGCCAGATACACTGACACTCATGCCTGTAACCCCAGCACTTTGGGAGGCCTAGGTGGAAGGATCATTTGAGGCCAGTTAGAGACCAGCCAGAGCAACAAAGGGAGACCTTATCTCTATGAAAAACAGAAAAACTAGCTGAGTGTGATGGTACATGCCTGTAGTCCTACTCAGGAGGCTGAGGCAGGAGGATTGCATGAGCCCAGAATTTTGAGGTTGCAGTGAGAAGAGGGAAGAGGAGGGGAGAGAAGGGGAGGAAAAAGGAGAGGAGGGAAGGGGAGGGGAGGAGAGGGGAATTCCAAGGAAAGCGTAAAAAAAAATTTTTTTAAAGAACAAATCAATGAAATAGAAAGCAAATATATAATAGAGAAAATTAACAAAGCCAAAAGTTGATTTTTGAAAGACTGATAAAATAAACAATCCCAAGAGCAAGAAAAAAATGGAGAATTCACAACACAGAGAATGAAAAGAGAATTAGAAAACCTATGTACATTAAAAGATTCTGGGCGCGGTGGCTCACGCCTGTAATCCTAGCACTCTGGGAGGCTGAAGAGGGCGGATTGCTCAAGGTCAGGAGTTCAAAACCAGCCTGAGCGAGACCCCGTCTCTACAATAAAAATAGAAAGAAATTAATTGGCCAACTAATATAATATAAATATCAAAAATCAGCTGGGCATGGTGCTCGTGCCTGTAGTCCCAGCTACTTGGGAGGCTAGGGCAGGAGGATCGCTTGAGCCCAGGAGTTTGAGGTTGCTGTGAGCTAGGCTGACACCACGGCACTCACTCTAGCCTAGGCAAGAAAGTGAGACTCTGTCTCAAAAAAAAAAAAAAAAAAAGATTCTGATGAGATTAAGGATAAGTTTATTCCAATGTAGCTGCAAATTTAGTTTAAATGAATAAATTCCATGAAGAACATAAATCATCAAAACTAAAACAAGAAACCAAAAGACTGCATAGTCCTACAGCTTTTTTGCTTTTTTTTTTTTTTGAGACAGAGTCTCGCTTTGTTGCCCAGGCTAGAGTGAGTGCCGTGGCGTCAGCCTAGCTCACAGCAACCTCAAACTCCTGGGCTCAAGGGATCCTCCTGCCTCAGCCTCCCACGTAGCTGGGACTACAGGCATGCGCCACCATGCACGGCTAGTTTTTTCTCTATAGATTAGTTGGCCAATTAATTTCTTTCTATTTATAGTAGAGACGGAGTCTCGCTCTTGCTCAGGCTAGTCTTGAACTCCTGACCTCGAGCAATCCGCCCGCTTCGGCCTCCCAGAGTGCTAGGATTACAGGCGTAAGCCAACGCGCCCAGCCCCTATAGCTATAAATGAAATTAAATCTGTAAGAAAACTCCAAGTCCAAATGGATTCACTGGTGAATTCTTTTAAACATTCAAGGAATAAGTAATTACAATTGTACATATATTCTTCCAGGGTATAAAAATAAAAGTAACATTTTCCAACCTTAGTCCATGAGACTAAGTCAGCCTTTATAACAAAAGCTGATAAATACATTACTAGAAAAGAAAATTAAAGGCCAATAAAATAACATAAAACACAATATAAAGCTACAAATTTTTAACATAAAACACAGCTATAAAACTCCTAAACAAAATATTAGCAAATCAAACCCATCAGTATACAAAAAGGATATACAGTGACCATGTGAGCCTTAGTTCAAAATGCAAATCGGTTTAACATTCTAAAATCAATCCCAGCTGCACATGGTGGCTCACACCTATAATCCCAGCACTTTAGGAAACCAAGGTGGGGGGATCGCTTGAGCCCAGAGTTCAAGACTAGACTGAGCAACATAGCAAGACCTTGTCTCTAGAAAAAATAAGAGAAATTAGCCAGGCATGGTGGCACACACCTGTAGTCCTAGCTACTCAGCAGGCTGAGCCAGGAGGATCACTTGAGCCTGGGAGTTTGGAGGTTGCAGTGAACTATGATTGAACCACTGCACTCCAGTCTGGGCAATAGAGCAAGACCTGGTCTCTAAAAAAATACCAAAATAAATCCTTATAATTCACCATACACTATTAAAGGGGAA